GCAACAGGGCCGTTTTATTTCCACACTGAAGTCTCCAGCTATCAGAGCATCTCCCAGCACATTCTTCCAACAGCTAAGACAGCCATTAGCAATAGAAATTCAAAGTATGTACATCTTTAGGCATAACGTAATTGAACACAACAGAATACAGTACAGTATGAACATTTTTATGTGACTCACTTTATTGTCGTATTTGCTTTATTGCAGTGGTCTGGAGTGAGACCTGTGGTATCTGCAAGGTACCTGTGTGAGGGCCATATTCAAGCTTCAACGTCCTAACATAGTAACGTTTCAAAGAATGGACATTTCCCTAGGTCCTTCCTTCTACAATAGCTTTACAGAGTACATGCAAACCATATGACTAATAAAAGTAAACACTTTTCATCATATAATTTAGGATTCACTTACAGATTTAAAGTATACAAAAAGAAATTTAGGTATGTTCTCTAAGTTAAAAATTCATTATCAACTTGAAATTATCTTAAAGTTCTACTTTTCTCTTATAAAACTAAGATCATTCTTTTCTAACTTCCTAAATTCCTATTTACTGCTCCATCATAATAGCTGAAGAGAAGCCTGGCATGGTACACACCTGTAATCTCTGCACTCGGGAGGCTAAAACAGAAGGACTGCCGCAAATTTGAGGCCAGTCCAGGGTACATAATGAGTTCAGGGCCAGCCTGAACTACATAGCAAGACCCTGACTCAAAAACACAAAACAAACAAACAAACAAAAAACCACAATTCAAGGAAGAACATTCTACATGGCAAGGATTTAAAAACTCTTCAGAGGGGCTGGGGATTTAGCCCAGTGGTTTTGCCACCTGCTGCGCAAGCGCAAGGACCCCGATCCCAGGTACCAAAAAAATAAAAAAACCTCTTCTGTATGCTAGATAACAAACAAAACTATGCATCAATACTAAACTATTTCATATTATTTAATATTTTATAGTATATAAATACATAATTATTTTACTGACAATGATGGACAGTGATAGTAATCGAGAGTTTTTAAATAAATAAATATTGAGCCTATGCTTTGTAAACTCTCCTGTTAAAGGCTAAATCAGAGCAGAAGCCATTCACATTGTTATGGAGTAACTGCAATTTTCTAAGGTCACCCCACCATCCTCAGTCCTTTACTAGGAAGAGAGTAGTGCAAATTCTAGGAGCCATATAAACTGAACTCAACCCACAGAAAGAATTCCTGGAAGCATATACACGGTGAAGAGGAATTGGTAGCTTTCATAACATGAAACTACCACACAAGATTTTCTTCAGAAGAATGAGAGCAATTTGAGACAGGGTTATAAAGGATCAGTGATATGAACCAAATGAAACTGACAGAACTAACAGTGTATGTTAAATTAAGACTTACAATACTGAGATGGAAAGAAATCAAAAAGGCATGCGCACACACACACAGCACCAAGACTCCACACTGAGAAGGACACCAGAAATCCATAGACAAAAGCATCTCATCTTAAACCAGACTCTTGACCAGGACTTCCTGTCAAGTCCTGGGGTGGGGGCTGGGGGGTGTCAGCTCGTTCATACAAAGGTTTCATCTTAAAGATGTCCCAAGGAGCCTGTGATCTTAAACAGCAAGAATTTCAAAACAACCTCCTGACCCATGATTACTAGGTTATCTATATAACATTAAATTAGTACATTTTAATTATTTAAAATGGCATTCCTTTCATTTTAATGGCTATTTCAAATGATAGCCCCACAAGGTAGAACATCATTCCAATTAAAATAACAGAAAAGCTTACTATCCTAATCAGAACAGTATTCAGTCAGAATTTACAGTTCCTAAAATTGCCTGCTGAACTGTGTATCTCTTCCCCAGTTATCAACTGCTACGTTTTAAATTCCATATGCTAAGCTTGACTTAATATGTGGCGAATCATTATTATCCAAAGTAAAGGAGGGTATAATCACAGGTTGTCATTTACTGGTTGACTTAAATATTGTCTGATTCACACTTTCCAACAAGGAATAATGGCTCTAGTGGAGCATTAAGTGGAAGTATCATGTTGGAGTCAGGTAACAGATAAGAATTTCTAAGGAAACAAACCACACTTATGTTTATCTGAGAAAGGGAGAAGATGCCTATGTTAATGTTAATTCTGCTCACTCTGACCTCATTTGTCTGTTCCTCTGGTTTACCCAGACTAAGCTGAGAGCCCAGGGGAGGACATAAGGAAAAGAGAGTGAGCAGACTGCAAGAGCTGCAAGGGTTCCCAGCTGGGCTCAGGTGCTCTTCTGGATGGTGCGACTCAAAGACGCCTGAAAGAAGAAAACTAGAAAGGTCAAGGACAAACACAACCACCTGGATTGCATAATCAGAGGCATCGGTAATCTACAGAACATATGTCAAAGGCAAAACATGACTAGGTATATTCTCTACTGGGCCACCATTCCCCAGGCTGCTCTCCCTTCAAGTAGTCCAACAGATCCACAGAAAACCAAACCAAACCAAACCAAAAAAATCCCTTTCAAGCCTGAGCTGAAGTAATAGCTGGTCTTGGCACATGCTGTGTACTTGATGTGGATATCTTCATGCGTACTAGTATGAGTATAATAAAAAAGGTGGAGTGCCGGGGATTTAGCTCAGTGGTTCTGCAGTCTGCCCTGCAAGCCAAGGACCCAAATTCAATCTCCGGTACAGAAAAAAAAAAAAGGTGGAAAATACCCACTTTTAATGATGCAGAGAAATCACAATCCTTTGTCAGCTGTGACTTGCAGCTACTTTCTCTTGTGGATTATCTTTTTACTCTTTTGATAGTGTATTTGATGTATAAAAGGCTTTTTTGAGACAAGGTCTCACTTTCTAGCCAGGCTGGCCTTGAACTCCCTGAGATCCTCCTGCCTCAGCCTCTGGAATGCAGGCTGCGACACCACACCTGGCTTCTTTGTTCTGAATACTACAATGTACACACTATTTACTAAATTCCTCATTTAGTAAACAATTCATCTAACAATCTAGGTGAAGGGCCATAGCTGTCCCTAAACAGGGATGTCTGTGTTCACTGAAGGCAGAGTAAGGGGCCACAGTAAGAAGCAAAATATTAAAATTCATTTTTCTTGCAATAATTGAGATGAGATATAAAGTGAAAGTTCTCATACCACCAAGGCCAGTTTTTATTATATCTGGATTTTGCTCAAAAATAAATCTTTTCTTTTCCTAGCTCTATTAACACTGCCAAAAGAGTATAACTCAGAATAAGCATTGTTACAAGTATCATCCACTGCTGTGATAAACAAAGCAGAAAGTTCCCTTGAACACTTTTCCTGTTCAAGTAGTGCTACTTTCAACAGTGGTTTGCTTCCTGCAAATTGTGTTCCCAAAATACATCATATGCTGCTGCACAGTATCCAACTCACCACTGTGAAAGAGGAAGTCATGGATGCTACAGAAAGTTGCCACAGAGCTTCACACCCAGCAAGGGAAGGGGTCTGGAAGGGTCCTCAAGGAAGTGAGACTTCGGGATGAGCAGGAGGTATTAAGCAAGAGGGGAAAGGGAGGAAAGTTGTGCCAAGGCAAAGGGAATTCATTTAGAGGGGAAAATGAACACACATTTCCAGGAAGAGAACACAGTGGATAAGAGGGAGGAAAATGAAAGGGGAAACAAAGCCAGAGGCAAGATACGTGGTCTTGGGAGCGGGTGTAAGCCAGTGGGTTTCACACTGTGAGCAATGCAAAACCACTCAGGGTTCAGCAGAGAAGCTAAATAACCATGTTTCATTTCAGCTACCTCTCTTCACTCCGTCCCTTCAAGCTAGGCTTCTTAAAAGAAATCTACCCTGTTCATCTGTCTTCTTCCCACCTTCTCCACTCTGGGCATCTGTAATACACTGGAAATTGCTCTTTAAATGAGTTTTTTAATCTTCTGGTTGCTCACTTCAATGGGCCCTTTCAGCCTTGACTTTATTTTCTCTCTGCAGGATGTGGCCCTGTGGACTACCCACTCCCCCATGGTTCTACCACTGTGCTCCCTACTGCCTTGGCTATTCCTCTTCAGCCTTCACTGCAAGCTGCTCTCTGCTCACTCTCTTAAATGCTGTCAGTCAAGATTCTGTCCTTGGGCTTGCTTCAGCCCTGCCAAACCCTCTATTTTCCCTGGGTGATCTAAATCATCTAGATCCCCAATAGGCTGGGGATTTAGCTCAGTGGCACCGCTCCTGCCTTGCAAGCACAAGGTCCTGAGTTAGATCCTCTGTCCAAAAAAAAAAAAAGAACCCCAAGTACCACCTAGGTGTTCATGTTTCCCAAAACTGTATTCACAGCTCTTCTGAACTCAAAATTTATAAATTCAATCATTTCCATTTCAATGTCTCACAAGTATCTCAAACAAAATTAAAAAGTTCCAAAATCAAACATACCTCTTTTTTTTTTTTGGTATGGGGATTGAACTCAGATCCTTGAGCTTTTGAGGCAAGCAGGGGAACCACTGAGTTAAATCCCCAGCCCAAACACACCTCTTTAACATTTCAAATTTCTATTCCCTCTTCAACCCTCCTTAGGGATGAAATACAGCCTAAGTTCAGCAGCTCAACATTTCTCTTCTGCTTCACTTCAACACTTGTCCACTCCTAGCCCCATCCAACCCAATACTAGCCAGAATGATCTTGCCAAAAAGTCAGTACAGCCATGGTATTTCCAGAAGGCTTAGTGTTCCTCAGCGAGTCCCTATCCACAAGATCCTTATAGGCTGGGCCTCCATTCTCCAGCACTGAGACCTCCCACCAGACTCAGCACAGGTGAAGCTGCTGGTGTTTTCTCAACACTGCATCTCTGAGCTTGTGCATATTTCTTCCTTCCCTGGAGTGCTAATTCTCTTCCTTTGCCTTGTCTTCTCCAACAGGCCAACCCATCCTTCAAGACGGAGATGAGGTCTCCCTCCTCCAGGAACTCCCAGGAGCACCCCCAGGACTCCTACACTCCCTCCCACAGCACCCTATAGTGAACACTGGGCATGTTTCCTCCTGCTCACCTGCAGACTACCTCTGGAGGCTGGGCACACGAGAGGAGGGGCTGGGCCTTTAGGGTCCCTATGCCCGGCCCTGGCACACAGCACGAAAACACGGACTTGCAACAAGTCCAGAACCGAGTGCCTCTGGAGCAGGAGCTTCTCGGTGGCATTCTCTGGGGACATCCAGGGGCCCAGGGCAAAGGCTGGCAGGCGCCTGGAGGTCGGAACATACTCGTGGAATGGCTGAGTAGACGTTCTAGTCACAGGAAAACACAGCACTCTTCCTGGTTTTAGTGGTCTATGAACTACTTCTACTGTAACAGTGTGCATGGCATGGTCCCTACTGACCAAACTGACGCTGGTTCTTCCACTAAGAAAAAACATTAAAACAAGCCTCAACCAACTAAGTAAACCGCAGGATTCCTAGACACTGGGGCACGGAAACGTTTCCTAAACTCCTTGAAATTGGACGTCAGTTTTCGATGGAAGGAGGTACCACAGGTACACTGTGGCTAGAGAGATCACAGCTTCCCAGGAATCTCAAAAATGTTAATAACACCCCCTAAAGTCACACTGATTAAACAAAATGTTAAGCTGAATTAAACTGCAGTGTTCACTCTTCCCTTTCAATCTGTATTTGGATGTATCACTCATACCTCAGAGACAGCAGTCTGCTTAAAACAAATGTAACTGGAAAAGCTCACATGAAGATTCCCACTAGAATTTACATTTAAGATTTTCTATATTTGGAAGAGTCCTTGCCAACATTCTTTAAGTTAGTGCCCTATTTTAAAGTGCTCAGCACCCAGGTGAGCCTGCAGATGTACCCGAGAGGAAAAGGTGACCCTCCGCCATCACCTTGGGGCAAACATTTTTTTATGGTCATCTAATTCAATGGAATGGGCAAAACCCATATCCTCCAGATTTACAGGAAAGCTTTTTATCTCGGGAAAATGTTAATGATTCAACAGCGGAGAAGCAGTTAAATCATCTTTAAAGAGGTAAGGGCACAGGGCGTGGTAGCCCACACCTGTAATCCTAGCACCCCGGAGGTTAAACCAGGAGGATCTCCGCGAGTTGGAAGCCAGCCTGAGATACACAGAGTAAGTTCAAGGTCAGCCTGAACTACACAGAGAGACCGCGTCTCAAAAAAAAAAAACTTAGAAAAAACGAACAGAAAAGAAAGAAACCGAAGCTGTCTCGAGCGCCGGGCCGAGCGGACGAGACCGCGGTAGGCTCCGGACCCGGCGGCCCTGCACCTCAGTGAGCGGGTCGAGCCGGCGCGTCAGAGGCTCGCGCGACCGCTCGGGGCCCCGTCCCCGCCGCAGGGAATCGCGACGCCTGCATGCAGCGCGCGTGGCGGGGCCAGGAGGACCAAGGCCGCCGGGACGCGGTCTTGGGACGCCGGGCGCTGGCCGTGGGGCCGTGAAGCTGCGGCCGGCGCCCCCGCCCCTCACGGGCCGCCCCAAGAGTCCCCTCACGAGTCCTCCGGTCTTTCCGCGCCCCGCACCGTCCTTTCACCGCTAGGACAGCCCGGCTGCGCCTGCGCGACAGGGACGCCCGCCTCAGCCCCGGCCCCGCGCCTCCGACAGCCGCGCGCCACTTCCGTCCGCGCAGGCGGCGGGCGCGAGCCCGGTCCTCTTACGAGGGCGGCCCCCGTGGGCCCGCGACTCACCAGGTATAGCGGCTGCCAGCGACACTGTGCATCCAGCTCCTCGAACTCCCGCTGGACGGTGGCGGGCATGGCGCCGGAGGGCGCCGGCGCAAGCACAGCCTGCGCTGCCGACAGCCTCTGGCCCCCGGCGAGCCGCACGCTGGCTCTGCGGCGCATGCGCGCTCCGCGCCCGCCCCGCCCCCAGCCGAGCCGAGGCTCCGGGAAAGTACCTGGAGCGTCGCACGTCAGCGCAACGCCTGGGCGCCGGAGCGCCGCGCGGAGCACGTAGGGGCGGGGCAGAGCGTGGGAGGGTGGGGGCCGAAGCGCCAGGTGGGGGCGGGGCCGGTCGCACCACGCCCTCTTCCGGCTCCACCCACTGATCTTTCTCTGTCCACCTCTTGAGCTAATTTCTCACCCATCGTCGGCCCTAAGGAGAAAAGAGTGGCCAGCTCTACACATGTGACCTATGAAAAAACGAGTTCCCCGTCACCTTTTTTTTTTTTTTTGGTACCGGGGATTGAACTCGGGTCCTTGCGCTTGCGCAGCAGGCAGCAAAACCACTAAGCTAAATCCCCGGCCCTCTTTGTCACTTTTGCTTGGTCTCAGGATGTTGCTCACACTGTTGGTGATCTCACACTCGGGTGGAATGAAGAATCATTCCAGCACTCTGGGAGGCTGAGGCAGGAAGATGGCAAGTTTGAGCAGAACCTGGATAATGTAGCAACTTAGCGAGACCTTGTTTCAAGATTTAAAAATGAAAAGTAAGAAAAGGGCGGGGAATGTAGAACCATGTGAGTGTCCTGGGGTCCTCCCCAGAATTCAGTTCCTCTGCCCACAGGACACATGTCATACAGGTCACACGCTCGCCCGCAGGTGACCAGCGCGCCCATCGCCTAAGAGCTGCTGGGGCATTGAAGTACTTGGGGCAGAGAAGTGTCCTCCAGCAGGTAAAACAAGGAGAGCACTTACCAGGAATCAGCAGCTTGAGAGAGAAAAGGAATCAGTAACAGGGAATCAAGCAGTCAGGTCCTTCCTCCCACGCTCTAACAGCACCTGGCAGCTGCACGCAGGGTTTAGGGCACAAGAACACAACTGCCAACTCTCTCCTCTCACCGTCTGGCTCCCGGAAATTCTGTCGGTGAAAATGACTGCTGAGAGTGATGGCAGGTTTTTCTGAGATCACCCTAAGACTGTCAAATCGGGGCCACGTATGTGGCTGTGTACACGTTTGCCTGTGTGTGTGTGTGTTTTAGCTTTGCCGCCTGTCAAGCAGTCACCTGAATGACCAGATGGCTCACAGGCAGTGGTGTTCACTGTTTGTGCCCCATGACAAATGGCGTAAGGATTGGAAGGATGAAATAGAGCTGATGTCACCATAGCCCGTACATTGGACACAGAAAGTCCAGAGTACTCTCCGGGTAGACTATTATATTCGTAAGTGAATTTAGCAACATCACTGAGTACAGAGCAAATTTAGCAGCAACAAAAAGAGAATTTTAAAAAATGTAAATAATATTCAGGAAAATTTTTGATAAATGATTATCAAGACCTCTAGGCTGAAAACCACAAACTATTACTGAGAGAAACTAAAGAACTACATAAATGGAAAGACATAGGATGCTAACGACTGGAAAACATCAGCTGTACAGTTACCAACACTTCTCCAAGTCTTCTATGGAGTCAATGCAATCTCAATCCAAATGCCACCAAGTTGTGTGCGTGCATGTGTGGAAATTTACAAGCTGAATAGACATATAAAAATGCAAGAGGAGGGCCAGGGATTTAGGTCAGTGCCTCGAAAGTGCAAGGGCCTGAGTTCGATCACCAGTACCAAAAAAAAAAAATGCAAGAGGGCCAGGCATGGTGGTGCACACCTGTGATCCCAGCACTTGGGTGGCTGAGGTAGGGGGATCACTGCCAGTTCAAGGCCAGCCTGGGCTACACAGTAAGTTCAAGGCCAGCCTGGACTACATAGTGAGACCGTCTCAAAAAAAAAAAGAAAGAGGATCCAAAATAATCTTGAAAAGTGGAGATTTTACTCCGATATTAAGACTTTTTTCAAAGCAACAGTAATTAAAACAGTGTTATTAGCTCAAAGATGGACAAATAGAAAGATGGAACAGGAGAGGGTCAAGAACCAAACCCAGAGGGCCAAGATTGGATCTGGAGGGCTGCATCTCTCCAGGCACCAGATCAAGAGAACAGCATGGCACTGATGGAAGCACAGACAAGCTGTGAGCAAAACTGAGTAGACAGTCCAGAGATGGGAATGGGAGCATGTGATGTGCTAGTTGCTTCTCTCATTGCTGAGACAAAATACCTGACAGCTAAAGTTAAAGGAGCTCACAGTTTGTAGAGGTTTCAGTCCATAATCAGCTGGCTCCAAGGCAGGGTGCCTTGGCAGAGGCACATGGTAGAGGGGAAACAGTTCATGCTGCCCACATGGTAGGAAAGGCATCAAGGAATCTTAACAGTTTCTTTCCGCCCCTTATATCTTCTTTCTTTTTGGTACCAGGGATCGAACTCGGGACCTTGGGCTTGTGGGGCAGGTGGAACCAATGAATCCCCGGCCCCTTCCCCTTTTATCTTATCCAGACTACTTAGGGCGAGTGCCACTCACACCCTTAATCCTAGTGCCCTTGAACCTAGCATTGCACTATGAATCCGTCCCAGCCACCTCCAAAAAAGCCCCACCTATGACTGCTTGAGGCTTCGGGGGACATTGAGACACAGCCATGACACGTGGTCACCAAGCCCGTGTACATTTCTCACAGCCTGACAAGGGACAGCAGGTGGCATCTTCCAGGACAGTGCTAGACTGGATGAGCACATTCTGTGTGCTTCTGTCCAGGAAAAGTTCAGAAGCCAGCCATGGGGCAGTGCTTCAGCCCCGGCGTCAGGGGTCCTGGGAGTGGGGGATGCGCCGCGGTGGGGTGCACAGGCAGCACGTTTCAAACCTCATGTGTGCTAAGCACAACAAAGCTATAAAATTTACATAAGTAAAAGTAAATTGTGCTGTTTCCTTCAGAAATGGAAACCACACACAGTATCTCAGATGGTACGAACAGGCTAATGCCACCTAGTGAATATAGCAAGACTGTATGTATATAGATTTTTTGGTTTTTTGGTGGTACCTGGCATTGAATCCTAGGCCTTTGCACGGACCTCCACCCCCAGCCTGTAGGGGACAGGGGAAGGGGACGTTACCAGAACCTCTGCAGTGAGTCCTGGTCTCCTGCGAGCCACAGCAGCACACGGCGAATTACAGGAAAGGTAGAAAAATGAGACTGAGAAGAAGCTGAGCTTTGGGTCTGATCAGTGCTGCTCTGGGCAGCAAAGACAAAAACCCCTAGCTTGCAGCACCTTTTATTTAGTACATCCAAAGAAACAAATGTAACAAATGAATAATGTAGATTTCAGTATCATATTGGGATGAACAAGGTGTAACAAAAGACTGGGGAGGAGGGGCGGAAATCTAAGAACAATGAGGAACTATGCAGATGAAGATTTAGTTCCTCCCAGGAGCTACACAGATGAAGATTTGGTTCCTCCCAGGGCGTCTCCCACAGGTGTGGTCTTGTCCTGGAGCATTACAGCATCATGGGATCATTGAGATCTTCCTTGTGACCTGAGGCCAAAATGGAAGTATGTCTTGAAGTGTTATTGCTGGCCTGTAGACGGGAGAACTAGGCCTACTCAAATGATTTTTCCCTAGAATTATGTAGCATTGCTCCCAACACTAGCCCTTTTCTATTTTTTTTTTTTATTTTGAGGCAGGATCTTTCTAATTCCCCAGGCTGGCTCCGAACTCTTGGTCCTCCTGATTTAGCCTCCTTAGCTGCTGGAATTACAGGCATGGACCCACCATCACATAGAGCACCTAGGTTCTCTAAAATTGCCCCAACTCCAGAGTAAATAGATGAAGCACTGGGATTAACATGGAGATTCACTCGCTCCATAGTTTGGAGTCACAAAATACATGTTCTACTTAGGTTTCACCAAACTCGATTAATTGTATCTAACAAAAACACTTATATTAGCCAGGCATAGTGGTGCACACCTGTGATCCCAGTACTCTGGGAGGCTGAGGCAGGAGGATCACAAGTTCAAGTTCAAGTCCACCCTGGGCAACTTTGAGACTTAGTGAACCCCTGTCTAAAAATAATAAAAAGGTTGAGAATGTAGCTCACTGCAAAAGCCTTGGGTTTAAACGCTACTAATGCAGTTTTTAAAAGCTAATATTTAACTTCATGCACAGCCTCCAAAAATGGCTTAATAAAGACAAAATGAAGCTTTCAACAATAACTATCTTGCCCAACTACACCACATGTGTAGGTTTCCAAATGAACTACCTTGATCTGAGCCTGCCGCTCATCTGTCTACTGCCTTCAAGC